CCCGGGGGGGGGGGGGGGGGGGGCACCACCTTGGGTGAGCCGACTGTGACGCGCTTGGGCCGAACGGAGTCAGAAGGAGCAGACCCGCCGCTGCTCCGCTCTGCCAGTCCTGCTAGGCTAAGGGTGGGCGTTGGCGCGGACGCCTCGGGCTGGTAATCGGGCGACTCGAGGCTCAGCATGTGGTCAGTGCTCATCCCGGGGAGAGCAGGGGATGAAGACAGATCAGCGATATCCTGTAGACAACAGAGATGGATGTTGTGTGGACCGGAGAGGATTGGTGTGTCACTCAATCTTCACGCGCCGACCTGTTGCAACTCGGTGTTCTTTCGCTTGGCGTTCTCCTCGCCCCGCTTGTGCTCGTTGACTTGCCGCTTCACAGCGGCGAGCTCAGCATCCTTCTCCTCATACCGCTCCTGCAACTTCTTGTACTCTTCTGTGTCCATCGTGTTGCTCAGCTCCCTCAAGTTCTGACACCGACCAACCTAAGGGGACGGACCAAAACAGCCAGCAGACTCGTGTCTCACTCGTGTGTGGCTTGTTGGAAGGTGTGCGTACCTCGTTCGCATTTCGCAGCTGCTTCTGGAGCCGATCCACCTCCTCCTGCAGTTCTTCGATGGACTGCTGCTGCTTGCTGACGCTCATTCTCTGCCTAGATGCCTGAATGGAAAGACGACGCACCTGTTGGCGAAGCTGCTCATTCTCATTCAGCAGCTGCGCGCCGATCTTGGCTGCCGTGACAATCTCTTCATTGGCAGCACCAGAGGCAGAGGCTGCCGACTCTCGGCGGCTTGCGGCTGACTCTTCTTGAGACGACGTGAAGGACTGCGAGAGGCCGCCGTGCGAAGCCCCGCTGGCCTGCCGAGACAGCACACTGGTGATAGCCCTGCGCATGGCATCAAGGTCGCTGTGGCCGCTGGAATCCACGAAAGGGAAGGCGCCGCCGTGCTGACTGCTGGGGGACACGACCTCACTCGTCCCTGCCCCGATGTCGCTGCCACTCCTTCCCAGACTCAGTCGAACACCCTTTCGCGGCGAGGGGCTGCCTGCTGTCGAGACGGTGAGGGGCTCTCGTTCAGAGGGGCTGAGGGTCGATGGCCTGCCCTTCAGTGCTCGCTCGGGGAGAAGGCCCTCGAGAGTGGGGGGCACCACCTTGGGTGAGCCGACCGTGACGCGCTTGGGCCGAAAGGAGTCAGAAGGAGCAGACCCGCCGCTGCTCCGCTCTGCCAGTCCTGCTAGGCTAAGGGTGGGCGTTGGGGCGGACGCCTCGGGCTGGTGATCGGGCGACTCGAGGCTCAGCATGTGGTCAGTGGTCGTCCCGGGGAGAGCAGGGGATGAAGACGCCCGAACGAGAGTGCGTCTCCCACGCCCTCGACTGCTGTTGAATTTGTTGTTGGCCGCAGGGGCCGACGCATCGCGCGAACTCATCATGCCGGCTGTTGTGGTGGTTGCAAAGTTGCAAAGTTCGCCCGCTCCCAGTCCTGAAGTCGTGAAGTGGGGGTCACCCGGGGGGAGAGAGAGGGGTTTCCGACAGCTGCTCTGTCACTCGCGATTGCCGTAGAAGCTACAACGGGAGAAAGAGCGCGGATAGACTATACTAGTCGAGATTTATCGCGAAATTGCGATCGTTTTCTCCTCTCTAAGCTCGCATTCATTCGCAACAATGAGTTCTCAACGAGTTCGCAACGGTGGATGAATGACACGAGTGTCGAAAGAGGTGACATTCAGTCAATTCTGTGTCTACACGACATGCACACACACACACACACACACGGGCGCATCACATCAATCAATCAGCGTCACTGTAGGAAAACAAGCAGGCCCACAAGGCAAGACGCCACCCATCCGATGCATCGCACAGATAGCACCGGACACACACCGACCGCCACGCCCACGCCCACTCGCACACAGAAAGACACACAGGGCACTCTCTCACCAAACCCGCCCCGGCCACTCTGACACTTGTAAAACGACTCACAGCCACACACTCACTGCAATGAACGAACAGCTATGGAAACACACATACATACACACACACTCATGCAGGCGCACACTCACTCCACTTTCGCACGAAAATCAGCTTTGAGCGCATTGCAACGCATCACTCAGTCAGTCAGTAGCCCAAAGTACTTAAGTAAGGTTGGAGCACTCAATCAAGCCATGCAGGGAAAGGAACGAACGAACAAGACACACAAAACGGCGCACTCACACTCACTCACTCACTCACTCAGAAAAATACCCCCTGTCAAACAGTGTCGGTACTCTCTCTCTCTCTCTCTGTGTGTGTGTGTGTGTCTGTCTGGTGCATGCCTCCCTCCCTCCCTCCCTCCCTCCCTCCGTTGCTCGTCCGTCCGTGATTCTGAGTGAGTGAGTGAGTAAGTGGATGGATGGATGGACGCCTGATGTGTGTGATCGTGTATGCGATATTGCCATACAGTCACCCACGCAGCGCATTGGCACCCTCACGGACACACACCAAACCACACGACACCCTGTCGAATTGACAACCATTTTCTTTGCTTACACACGGCCCGGCCTCTCCCGTCAGCCACAGCCACAACACAACACAACACAACACAGCGCAACAAAACATCTCCCAAAAAAGGGCGGCCAGCGACACACAGCACACCGCCCCGTCTCCCTCTCTACTACTCACTCACTCACCCACTCAGTCGCCCCTCGGCAGGTCGGTCGATGCAGGCTACTCGATTGATCAATCACGCCACTCAGCTGGCCAATCGCCCACCACACCACACCAACCACACCACACCACCGAGAGAAAAATGACTCTAGCAGATCGTTCAGCCAGGGAGGGAGGGAGGAAGGCAGAAAGGCACTAATGATCTCATCGGCTGAGTGACTGAGTGACTGAGTGAGTGGTCATGCGCTCGCTTAAATGAGTCGCACTGGATGTAAGTAATGTATATGTAGTGTTATGGTATATAGCCACGAGGGCGTACGAAGGGGACCACCGATCGACAATGTCGCTGCTGCCTTTCTGTAGTGTGTGTCTGTCTGTCTGTCTGTCTGTCTGGGGGGCAGAGGGGCTCTGGAACACGATAAGCGACACACGACACACGACACACACCCACGCGGCCACACCGGCACGCTTGCAGGGATGGATACAAAATGACACTCTTGTCTGTCTGTCTGTCTGTCTGTCGACGTCTCTGTCTGTGTTGCCTCTGCCAAGGTATGGGAGCAAGCCTCTTAAAACCTGAGGATGCCTCCACACACAGCCACAGACAAAGGCGAGATACTGCCCATACCCTTCTACCCGGCTACGTACGCCCTTTCCCCTCCCTCCCTCCCTCCCTCCACCCCTTCCCACAGCCCCACACACAAGACGACAGAAAAAGACCGCTTGCACCGCTAATCAGTCGATCGATCAATCACCGATAGAAGCTGTGTGTCTGCGGCATCCCCGGCTGCCCACCATGACCACCACCGCCATGGCCCGGATACCCACCCGACACATGCCGTGCCACCCCGAGGCCCCTGCCCATCGCTCTCGCCGCATCTATGGTGCCGCTCCCGTGGTGGGAATGGGCGACAGACGCATGGGGCGATATCTTCTGGTGGTGGTGCTGTGTGGGCATGTAAGGGTGGTGCGGGTGTGCGTGCGGGTCCATGGCTGCTGCAGCAGCTGCTGCTGCAGCCGCTGCTGCTGCGGCATGGTCGACCGAATGGTGCATGCTCGGCGCGTGCACCATATGGGGGGCAGGGATGCCAAAGGGCATCGCGGTGAGGTCGGGCAGAGGGGCAGACGGGTAGCTCGGGACCATCACCATCTGCATGTGTGACACAGAAGACAGGAACAACCTCTCACTTGGCCATCCATCCGCGTGTGCAGTTACTGACCTGCTGGTGGTGGTTGATGCCCGTGTGCATGACCGCTGCTGCATGAGGGTCCTCCCTAGGCCGCCGGCCCCTCTTACCCACACCACCACCACCACCGCTCTGGGAAGTCGATGGCGAGCTGTGCGCGTGCACTTGCTGCAGTGGTGGCGGCGGGGGCGGGTGGAACGACGGCCGACCGCCAGGCATTCCCATGCCCATTCCCATTCCCATGCCCATGCCCATGGTGGCCGCGTCGATCTCGTGCGTCGGCGTGCTCGATGGCGACATGGTCCCGCCACCCAGCCCTGCAACACCGCCAACCATGGGAAGGTTGGATAATGACGAGCTCGTTGAGGGAATGTACAGCTGATGGTCCATCATCGCCGCGGCCGGCCTGTTGGGGAAATCCAGGCTGGCGTGGTGGGGATGGGGATGGGGATGGGACGCCGCTGTTGGGGCAATGCCCACGCTGACATCCGACATGCGCCTGCCGTGGACGCCCACGCCCATGGCCATGCCCATGCCGGGAAAATGGGGCGGCGGGGGCGGGTAGGCCGCGATCAGGTGCGACGTGGTGTCGTCTCCGCCACTCGGTGTGTGTACCGACAGAGAGTGCTGGCTCAGGCTCGTCTGGCTGCCTGTCGTCATGTTCAACAAGGGCAGGGCTGCCGGGTGGGGATGGGCGGACGATGAGGGGCTCTGGGAGGGATTGTGCGAGCGGCTGGGGCGCTCCTTGCGATACTCGACCCGTGATTGCGTGCCGTCTGGCCAGGTGAGACCGGTCCTGACGAGATGGGCAGCACTGGCGGCGCAGTCGACGGTGAGGAATGCGAAGAGGGGCCGGTCGGTGGGCGTGGTCCTGTTGGTGCGGTTGGAGCTCATCTGGTTGTGGGAGGCGAGCATCGGGCGGTTGATGAGCTTGGCGTGGCCGCCGACCGGCTCCAACACACGACTCACGTGATGCACCAACTGACCAACCGACACAGAGGGAGAGACATACACTCATGTGTTGACGGACGAATCGACTGACCTCTTCGTCGGTGAGGTCAGCAGGTGTGCGCGACAAATAGAGCTGGAACAGACCACCAACGACGCCCCCAGCACCCCGCCGCCCCCCTCTCTCCCTCTCCCTCTCCCTCCCACCGCGGTCAGACACGCGATCGCCCTCAGTCGGCGACATTGACACAGACGCCTGATTGGCCGCATCAGCAGCATCGCGCCGATGCGGCTGATTCGATATCCTCCTCCTCGCAGAGGGCGGCCCCCTGTCGCCCATGGGGTCATACACGGGCAGGGGATGGCCGTGCTGTCGCAATGGGTGCTGCGGGGCTGATGCTGCTGGTGCTGCTGCTGATGTTGCGTGGATAGCGGGGGAGTCCCAATTGAGAGGGGGGAGGATTGCCGGTGTCTGTCGGGGCAGTGTGGAGGAGTTGGGGTGCCCTCCCCCTCCCCCACCGTCTCCCCCGCCGTGCATCGACTGGGACCGCACGAACGGCTCCGCAACTCCTACACCCACAGCCGTGTCCACAGGCCCGACAATCGACATGGGCGACGTCGCCTTCTCCACCCTCCCCCTCTCCCTCTGGCTCTCCTTCTCACCACCACCACCACCACCCTCTCTGTCTGGTGTGATGCCACTGCCCACCGACAGCACAGGCACCTCCGGGTCAGTGGGGGGCGGGGCGGGCTGCTCCGGATCGCTAACATTGTTGTTATTGGCGATGAGGGCCTCACACTCGTCTGTGGGAGGGCGGGAGGGTTTGTTGCCTGTCGATGAGGCGGTCGTGTGGTGCCGCACTCGGAGACCGGCGTAGTGCTCGGGGTAGGGCGTGTCGAACGGAGTCCCCATATGAGGGCGGACGCCTTGAGACGGAAAGACAGACAGAGAGAGAGAGAGAGAGAGGCAGACAGACCCCATCGGGCTTGCAGTCCTTTCCTCTCTGTGTGTGTCTTGTCCGCTGCCTCGCTCACTCACCGTTGCAGACGGGCGGCCACTGCATGGCTGTCCCCATTTCCACCCGCTGCACCCTCCTGCCGTCATGTGCGACCGACTCATCCGGCGACTGCGCCAACACGGGGTGCGGAGGGATGGTCGAGAGCCGCTGCTGGTGCTGCAGCTGGATGAGCGTCCGTGCGAGGGGCCGGGAGGGGTGTCCGGTGTCCGGGTGGATGGCGGCGGGCATCGCCACTGCCCAGCCGGCCGGCAGCGGGGCCTCTGCGGCTGCGAGCACTGGGAAAGGGATCGCCTGTGGGGGGCCCTTTGGGGCAGACGAGGGAGATGACGGCAGGCTGACCACACACACACACGAAGACACAGAGAGAGAGGTGCAAGGTGTGTGGACACGTGATCGACCCATTGTCCCTCCCTCCCTCCCTCCCTCCCTCCCTCCGTCTCTCCATCTCTCTGTGGTCACCCACCCACCTTTGGCTGGCGCTAGGGTTGATGTAGGCCGCCCTCGCGCCATAAAACACCGGGTGTATTGGTGGGACCGGCGGGATGGCGGCCGTGGCTGACTCGAGGTCCTGCGCCAGCAGCTCCAGGTAGGAGGGGCCGTCGGCGTGCGGCCAGTCCTCCGTCTCGTCCGATGGGGCCACGGGTCGGCTCACCGTCAGCTGATACCAACGGTCCAGGAACTGACACACAACAACACAACCACAACACAACACAGCACAAGAAGGGACGGATAAATGGATGGATGGATGGATGGATGAGTGTGCATTACCAGCTCGAGGCTGGGCAGCGAGGGGTCCTCTTCCGGCCGATTGGGCCGCAGGCTCGTGATGCGATCGGTGTCGGGCAAGGGGTCTGATGCCGCGGATGTCTCACCAGCTGCACCAGGTGCAGCCACTGCTGCTGCTGGAGTGTCGCCCTCGCCATCAGCCACCGGCTCGTCCGCATTTGCCGAGTCGCCCTCCTCGATATCGACGGAGTCGCTCGCATACGATAGAGAGGCCACCTGGTTGCTGCGTCGCACCTCCTCGTCCCTGCGGTATCCATGACACACCCACACATGTGTGCTGCGATGTTGCTCGGTGTGGCGTGGCGCTTCTTACAGCATCTGGAGGTATGTGGTGTCGCCCGTCGGCCCCCACTCGGGCAAGGGCGGCTCAGCTGCTGCGGCTGCTGCGGCTGCGTCGCTCCCGCCGTGGCCAGCATCGCCGTCACCATCACGCGGCCCACGCACTGGTGACACGCTGCGGCCCCTGGCCTTGCGGAGGGCGGCGATCTCACGCTGAGCCACACGATAGGCATTCTCGAAAATCTGTGAAAGAGCGACAGATGAGGGAACCGTGTGGTGTGCTGTCCATGCCTCCTTTCTTTCTCGCTCACTTGGTTGATGTTGAGGGTGTCTGCCGGCACGTCGAGCAGCCTGGGGCTGCCCGATGTGGCCGGGTCGGTGCACACCACCCTCTCCCCGCCGCCCTGCATGCCCTCCTCCCAGCCCCCGGTCCCGGTATACCGACCCACACTGTCGGCCATCCTGTCGCGGATGTCGTTGAGCATGGTGGCGAAGAAACCCCCGGCCGCGTGGGGATAAGGGGGCATGTGTGGTCGTGCAGCCGCTGCCGATGTGTCCACAGGCGATGGACGCCTTCGAATGGGCTGGTTCTGGATCTTCTTGCGGCTCATGCGGCCCTCCTGCAGCGACTGGGGGGGGTCTGGGGGCTGCTGCTGCTGATGCTGATGCTGGTGGTGGGATGGCGTGGACGTGGAGGCGTCTTGCTGCTGCCTTCTCTCGGGTGAGGGCGAGGCCTTCATGGCCTTGTTGGCGATGCGGCAGCGGGCCCTCGCCCTCCCTGCCGCGGCTGCTGATGGTGTATCGATGTCTTGTGCCTCCTCGTCCACAGGATAAGGCATCACGACATGCTCGGCCGCCACGTTGCGGGTGTGAGGATGGTGGTGGGGGATCGGCTGGTGCTGCTGCTGCTGTGATGGCAATGTGGGTGGAGGGTGGGGCGGAGGGGGCGGATGGGGGAATGGATGATGCTGCATCTGCATGTGCTGCTGCTGCTGCTGCTGGTAAGAATGGGCATAGGGAGCGGAGGAGGAGTGGGCCATCTCCGCTGCTGCGGCGTCATATGGATCGCTGATATTGCGGTCGAGAGGGAGGGGCAGCGGGTGGTGGTACACGCCGCTGAGGACGGCCGTGGTGCGCCGGTCGAGGTCCCTATCGCGGTTGCCCGATGACGGCGTGCTCGACGGAGGAGAGGGCACCGGGAAATGGGCAGGGGCATCTGCACACACACACACACACAGCCACAGGAAGATGAGATGACAAGCCGTTTGTGGTCCAGTTAGTGCTCAGGCAGCTCCCCTCACTCTTGATGTGGGAGTGCTGGTTGGCCATCTCCATGACCTCATCGGCCCTCCTCTCCCTCTCCCTCTCTCTATCTCTATCTCGATCGCGCCTCCTCTCTCGAGACGACCCACCACTGGCAGACACACCGTGGAGATGATAGTTCTGCTGCGGGTGTGGCTGAGACTGGTCGCCGGATACATTGTGGCCGGGCGGCGGGAAGGGTGGCGGAGAGGATGCGGGCATGGAGGCAAATCGTTGCCTGTCCCTGGTGCCCTGCCATGTGGCCACCCCGCCCACCGGCTGTGGCGGCGTGCGGGTATCGATTTGCAAGGGCGCCGGCGGGTGCTGGTGGATGGCCGAACGGGGGGGCGGCGGAGGCAGAGGACGCTGCATCATCTCACCAACGGCCGCAATTCACCGCACCATCACCGTAAGAGATAAAGATGTTATCACACACACACGTGCGGTGCAGCGAGCAGCTCCGTTTGCCGTCCGTCGTTCAGCCGGCCGCCAGATACACCGTCTCCGATGCTGGCTTGTCGTGCCAGTGGCTGCCTCAGCGGTCCTCAGCTTCCTCACCGCACCGTGGGTCGCTGCTTCTCTCGTAGAGCCGCGGCGATCTCGTCAGCCAAGCCATTCCCCGACAAGAGATTTGCTCCGGCCACATGCATCATGATAAGCCGCTGATGAAGACCACCATCACCACCACTGATTTCAGGGAGATCCAGAGGGAGATCCAGAGGGATGTCCGTTCACTCGCAGTGGCCAAGGGGCACAAATTCGAGCAGTACTGTCTTCGACGCGAGATGGGGACTGTCTTGGTCGTTGCTTCCAGGCGTGTCGTTTCCCGACTGAAATTCCAGATCTTCGCGTAGCTCGCAAATGGATGGCTGCGGATGGAGGAGCCTCCGGAAGGAGCGGAGGCTTTGTGAGTCATGCGTGGGGCAGGTCACCAGGCCACACATGCGTCTAGGCCTGCACGCGAAGCTTCCTTTGCAATGAGAACGAATGGCTGTGTCCGCGAATTGGGCTAGTGCCCGATTTGCGTCTTTAAGAAACAACACGTCCGGCAGACAAAACGTTCGATCGCGATCGTATGGAAGAAAAAAGGAAAATCGGTAGCGGTGGTGTGTTGCTCGCACTACTACAGACACGTGAATATGTCGAACAGCTTCTGTGTTTTTTTGTCACGTTTGGACAAGTAATCGTTAAACTGATGTACCCTAAAGCGGCACGTTAGTGAAGAAAAGCTTGGCCGTCAGGCCGTCTAGGGTGTTCCCTGAAACCGCTGCAGCTTGAAAAAGATCGCGGTTCTTTTGCGCGGAGAAAATCAACGAATAAGGGTCTCTCTGGGCGCGAACTTCTTAAAAAAAGCAAGATCCGTAACGAGAAGCATCCACTGAATGAACAACGCACGAACGCGCCAGTTTGTGGTGGATGGGATGTTTCTCTTGTCCGTTCATGCAGCTGGTTGAGCTTGGTCCTTCTTGGGTGCCTTTTCGCAGGTCCCTCAGTGCCGCATCAACTTTGTCGAGCTTCTGGCGCTTAACGAAAGAGATCTCGCCGACTATCGTGCAATGGACTTGGTAGTGGATATGCTTGCAAGACTCCTCTCTGCAAATGCGGTTACCATCGACTGTCTGCTGCTTCCCGCTTGCGC